TAACAAGTGATAGATCTAATAATAATATTTGTTGGGGGGATAAATTATATCCTCCAATTAATTATAAGTGGACTGGCAAAAAAAAAAGTTAATTATACAGGGCAGAACTTAACAGTAAAATAATTTTTAAATTTAATTTTGAAAATTTTCTCATATTGATCAACAGAAGAACACAAGTACGCAAGACTAGCATATTCATCCCGGGGCAATACATTTAAAATAAAACAAGTTATTATTTATATCTTTAACTAATATGTATATGCAAAATAAAATTTAAAATAAGATGCTATTTAGATTTAATTTAAATAAATAAAAAATGCTAATTCTAAGCTAAGTAGACTCAAATAAATTATTTTTTTATTTCTATTTTATTTTCACCTTTTAAATGTAAATAAATCTAGCTGTTCTATATGATTACAAAGGTTTCTACACTTAAATATCTGACTTGGTTGGTTTATACAAGGGGCTTGTCCTTGTACTTTTGGGCACCCATACCTTTTGACAATCTACTAATGTTTTAGTTGGTAATTAAGATAGTAGAATGTGATGTTACACTAGAAGCTGGAAAATTCTGTGTTGGGATTAGGTTTGAAGAAAATTTCAAAGCTTATGAAAAAGATTAGATATTCTTTGAGAGGTAGTTCAGAGCTGCGAAGTCTTCAAAGGTCTAGGAGAGAAGGGTATCGTAATCAAGGTACTCCAAGTCAGGAGCTAAGGATCAGCCACTTTCTAAAATTTGGACGAAACTTGGACCTCCAGCTGCATTTTTAACTTGTGTAATAATTGTGATATTTCCAAAGAGCATGCTTGGATGAGAGATAGTGGAACGAAAAGGAAGGGATAGTTTCATTATTTTGGGGATGTTGGAGGAGAAAGTTTCCTCGTGATTTCTAGTGGTATTGGGGATGTTTTGCAGATCAGTGTAAATGAAATATGAATCATGTTTGTACTGTTCCCCCCAACAAGATAACTAGTGTAGGTCTTGTGCATTGTATAACGTCTGGAAAATGAGTCGTGTCATTCAATAATTAGTGTGACTTGTTAGAGTGTTTGTATATATCATCGTATACAGTTTTGTTAAATTCAACCCCGGCTCAGTTCTTATGTGGAGAACCAACACTTCGGAGTCATTTGACCTGGATCACTTCAGTCACTTTAGTGTTTATGAAGACACCTAACTAACTGTAATATATTTGTTTGGATTTGGTTTTAGATGTAACTCCAGCTTCATCATGTGGGTCTGGTTTATTCAACCATTTTTGTTGGTTATGTGATCCTGTAAGTGGGCAATGCAACCATCCAAAAGTGTACAATAGTAGACGGAGGAATAGCATGAAAGCTTAAATTGTTGAAAATTATATTGTAAATATTTTACGGCGAACATGAGACTCGAGACAGTCAATAGAAGAAGTGACTTCTTTAGGTGGATGGTGATTATGGAAGAAAGACTAAACTATTTGATTGGTGGAAAGATGGTTTGCTCATTCAGAGTGAAATTTGTAGTTTTATGAGGATAGATTTTACACAAGTCTCTACTCATGCATGGACTATTAACTTAACATGAAATATAAATACATCAAATTAAAAAAATATCATTGTTTAAATTAAAAATATTTTTTACATTATTAATTGATCTTTTAAAATTAAAAAAAATTAAATGTTAGAAGTTATATATATATTTTATCTCCTCTTTTAATTTATACATACAAATATTTAAAATATCATCCCAACTTAATTGAGAAACTAATAACAAAACTACAGAAGCCAATCGCAAAGAAGACACCCTAAAGCATTAAAGAAGTTACTTGAAAATTGGAGAAGTCAAGAAGTTATCTCATAAACTACAAAAATTTGATCATTTTATTAAAAAAAAAACATTCCCTCTATTCAAAAATGTAAGGTATTTTTTAGGGAGCTGGATGTTAAAAAATATAAAGTATTTTTAGTCTTTTGAAGTGTAATCATTACTTTTATTTTAAAATGCTTCTATTGATAATGATTTTATATTTATTGTAGTTTAATAGGGGTAAATATGAAAAAATGAGGTTAGTTGAAAAGTAGGTAACTACTTTATTGGATGATGAAATTTAATTAAAAATGATTTATATTTTTGAACGAAAAGAGTAACTAATCTAAGACAGATGAAAGGGAGTAACTAATAATAACTAATAAAACTGTCATATTTTTTGTGTAAGTCATAAAGACTTGAGTCAGCATCTTAAAACACTAGCTTAATATTACTTGATTCGTTTGACAAGTTTTGACCTAGCACTTTTAGAGATGAATCACTTAAACCATATTATGTAACTCAACATAGAGGGGTTGACAGCATGAAAAACATGAATCCTAATTGCCAATGACATACTGGAATGAAAACATTAAGCCAGATAGTAAATGACAAATGAAAAAAAAAAAAAAACAGTTTATTATGAGGAGAGATTTTACACAAGTCTCTACTCATGCATGAAAGTGCTTAGTCCTCTGGGTCAAAAATCTCTTTCATGGGCTGGATTTTGTTTAGCCTCGAGCTTGATTCAGCTTGCAAGAATTGAGATTCTCGCCTTAAACTTTGGCAAAGCTTCATGGGATCTCATTATCTCAAGAGGCATACAAGAACATGCACGGCCCTCATGGATTGACTTGTGAGGAAAGCTCATGAAGTGAAACACGGTTGCATGATTCCTGAGGAAGTGCCTATTGGCTCTGGGCCTTTTTCATCCTGATGATGAGCATTTCGTATTATATTATAAATTATTGTTAATTAATTTATGATTTTTTTAAAAAAATTAAAAATCTATATTTTTTTTTAAAATTCACATATATTTCCGTTTATGTTCTTGAATAGATTGAATATTTCTCGTCTCGAAATTATCGGTTTCGTTAGAATTGCTACTTCAAAAGAAGTACATATCCAGTTCGTGAGAAAAGGGACCATAACCCCATTTGATTTATGGAATTAAAATGAATAGAATCAAGTGAGATGAATAATATTATGAATAATAAATATCAATATTATGAACAATAAATATTTTCTTGTCTCTAAATAAAAAATACTGTCTCTAAATATTTTTAATTGAATTATACTCTTCTAAGTTAATTAATTGTCTTTAGATTAACATCATATCATGTTTTCTCATATTTAAACTCATTAACTATCAAAGAATATAATACAAATTTAAATTTTTTATTTAAATAAAAGTAAAATTAAAAATTTATTTTATTTTTAAACAAAGTTAATAACTTAATTACATCTTTAGTTTTCGTTAGATAATTGGAGGTGTCTTGTGTAGAGATTAGAGGGACCAATTAATTCCACTATAATAGTATTCTCTATTGTGAACAAATAGATTTTCTCTCAATCCTAAATTGTAAGACAACTTTGAAAGAATTTTTTTATCCAAAAATATAAAATAATTTGAGAAAAATAAGATTTCATTAATAATATTTTCTTAATATTAAGCTTCAAGTGAAAAGAGAATTGAAATGATATTGCAGCATAATAATTAAATTTATAGGGACATTTTTAAAAGTTTATAATTTTATTTTGAAAAAGTATGTTTGTGAAGTATTAGGGTTAAGGTACAATTTTATCTTTAAATTATTCTTAGAGGAATAATGTTACCCATAAACTACTTATTGTAACAATATTGGTCATAAACTAATTAAATCATAGTAATATTATCCCTATCGTTTAAATGTCCATTGTTGTAGCTAATGAGATTCACTTTTTATGAATTAAGATGCAATTTTTTTTTAAACTATTCTCAAAGGAGAAATGTCGCGCTCACTGTTTAAAAATAATAAAAATAAATAAAAATAAAATTATAATAATATTAAATAAAAATAATATTAAATGTATATATAAAATAAATATAAGAAAAATATAAATTATAATTTTATAACTTGTCAAATATAAGTAAATTTTGGTTAAATTATATATGAGTAAATTCAAAAGTATATGCATTTACAGCTATAAGTATCGACATCTTTATAAAAAAATGGTCTCAAATTATATTTTATACATGTGAATCATTCAAAAATAAAGTTAGCTTCTAGTAAGATTTAATTTTTAATTTTTTTTATTTTTTAAAAAAAAATTTAAGCTTTTTTTAATATTATATTTAAAACCATCTAGTTTTTTGAAAACCACTTTGGTTCCCAATTCAACTTTTGTTTCCAACTTAATAGTGGCTTAACTATTATCTAATCTTAGCTCAATCATGAAAATAGTTTTTTGATCCAAATCGAATCATTAATGACAGCTTCGGTCGATAATTATAGGTATAAATATGGATACTTTTAAGTCTAGGTATATCTAATTTCATCAAGATCTACTTATATTTGACAAGTTATAAAATTATAATTAATAATATTATTAATTTATAACATTTTATTAACATACTATAATTTTTTTCTTATATTTATTATATACATTTAATAATTATTTTTATTTAATATTATTATAATTTTATTTTATTTAATTTTATGATTTTTAAATGGTAAGGGCAACATTGCTCCTTTGAGAATAATTTAGGAGCAAAGTTGCATTTTAACTCATGAAAAGTGGGTCTCACAAGCTACAGTAACTTACATTTAAACGGTGGGACCAACATTGCTCTAATTTAATTAGTTTATGGGCAACACTGCTACGATGAATTATTTAGGGGTAACATTACTCCTCTAAGAATAGTGTAAGTACAAAACTGTATCTTAACCCAAAGTGTTATTGCTATGTTTTATTGATAAATTTTATATCAAATTGTCATGTAATGAGATGGAGGGATAATTATAAAACTATTAAACGAATTAAACTTAAATTTGACATAAAAGCTACAATAACAGTGGGGCTAGAGGGACATTACATAACATTGTTTATTCTCCACAAAGTTCCAGAAATAATACAATGAGATTGAATCGTTACATAATGTTTATTTCCCACAACGTTACAGAAACAATACACTTTTAAACTAATACTGTATATACCACGCTTCCTAATTGTCCTTGCTAATCCTATAATTCTATCTAAAGTGTATTTATAAATGAAAGAAAAGAGAAGCTATCTGCTTCAATTTCTGTCCAGTGTCAACCACACAATACCTGCATATATTCAAAATCTGTCCCATTTTAGAAAGTAAGCATTGATAGGGTTCATTTGAATAATATAGATTCATTGAAGTGTGAGGATCTTCAAGTTTTCTAAATTAAGGAGAAAGAGAGATACATAATAACGAGTTTTGTTTATGACATGTGAGCCCCACAAAAATGTAACACATGATCATGTGCTCAGTGAGGTGAGAGGATCCTAAAATTTTCTGAAGTAGAGAGAGAAATAATAGTGAGTCTCGTTTTTGACATATGGATCGCACAAAAGTAAGGCCCATGATCATGTGTCTATATTTTTCTTCACTTCAAGAAAGGTCAGTGTAGGAATCAATGTCACCTTATGAAAATGATGGTGGATTTAAGCTGAGGAAGATTCTGTTTGAGTAATTTGTGTAAAATTTGAATATTTTCTTTGTAATTTAGACTTCATTTGAGCTCCCTTCTCATCTATCATTGTTGGTGGCCCTCTCTTTCCACAAATTTTCAGCACTAGCTCCTTATTATATTCCAAGTTGAGCTCAATAGAGTCCTCTTCTCTTATTTTTGAACTTGATGCTCTCTCCATAGAAGAAACAGTTCCACCGGTAATTCTTTCTTCATGGTAAAGATTGTTCTGCTTTGCATTTTCAAATTCAAAAAACACAAAAAATTAGAAACAAGATGAGGCAAGGAAGTTATGTTGATGAGATTTTTAAATTGGTTCAATCTACGGAAGAATAGGTAGAGAAAGTCAATCAGAAACAAACAGGTAAGAATGATGAATGTAATTTATTGCAAAGGTTGCTAAAATTCTTACAACATTTCATGTTTCATTTACTCATGAGTTAGAACCAATTAGTACAATATGGAAAGTATTCTTTCCAAGAGTAGGAGGGTCCAGGTGAAGAGAGAAAGAGTGAGAGAAGTTTTGGTGAGGCATGACCTGCATACCCTTCTCTCTTTATCTCTCCACCTGGACTCCAGGTCCATCTAGACAGAATCCAAGTCTAGAATAATGAGGATGAATCTTTTAGAGTTGATAAGGTTGAACATAGAGTACATACACTGCACACACACACTACCAGTGTAATTTTTAACATTTCTTTGCATACATACATACATACATATATACATATATACATACATATATATATATATATATGTAATAAAGTTTAGGTGAATTGGATCTCGAGACTCACTATGACGAGGGCAAAAGAGCATGCCTCTAAGCTCAAAGAATGTTTATAAAGAGACTTACAAATTACCTACCAATAAGATCTTCATATCAATAGCAAGATTTGATCTTATGACCTTATGAGTTCTGGGCAAAGTCCTTACTAATTAGACTAATCTTTGTTGATACAATGTTTAACATTTCTAACTCCATATCATTGAACTTTAGAGGATCCAAATAAGAAATTGGAAAGAACTTTATGTTTTAACTTATTAAAGAGTACAGACCTTATTATCTCGAATGCTTTCTTGATCAATATAAAAGAATGTCTTTGACAGTACATTTACTCCACTATTTCTCTGGAATTCCAACATGATGTCTTTTTCCAGTTCAAAACTTGTGGCAGCATCTATCAGTGCCAACATTTCATCTCTCTTGAAAAGTGTGCACGGTCTACCGCATAAACAAGTCTGAGTCTCAATTTCTGTATGGCAAAATAAGAGAGGAACAAAAGATAAGGAAATAATTTGATTCAAATCAAAACGCAATAAATAGATCTTGAATCATCTGCATGCAAGAGTGCAATTACACTTTAATTTAAATGCTTAAACTATTACGTGAAGGGTTATAATACAACATTCAGATAAAATCCCTTTGGGTTTAAATGAAGACAGAGTACTTTAAAGCTCAGAGCCTGAACTTTTTTGTTGTAACCTCTTATATCTATTAGCTTAATACAGTTTTAAGCTCAGAGCTTAAACTTGCTCATCTGTAGTGAGAGCAACTAAAATGACGATTCAGAAAATGGTAACAATGATATCTTACCGTGGAAAAGACAAATGGGATGAGTATAGCAGTTCTTGCAGAGAAAGAAAGCCACATAACAGTCTCTACTGCAGAGGCTGCATACCACAGTACCTAGGGAATTTGAAGAACTTAAAAACTCGCTTGAAATTTCCAGTCTTGAAAGAGCTCCGTAGTAAAATTGCATAAGCTGCATAAAAGACAGTTTAGTAGCATGGTCAGATTGCAAATCAAATTTGTCACTTGAGCCTCTGAAATTTGGGGCCTTGTAAATCAGCATTGCTTCATTACAAAGAAGTTCCTCAAAGGGAATAATAGGCATCTTTCCAAGATGTGCATATCGCCTTGTAGCTTCAGCCCCAAATGGAAACCAATCACTCACTGCAAAGTTTACTGCTTCTCCACAGTTAAATCCTGAACCAAGAAGAATCCAAACCAGTAAATATGAAATTATGTATCTATTGAAAACTATATACCCGTGTGTCTGCAGAGACAAAAAAAAAAAAAAAAAAAGGCAAGTGCATGCATGCTTGCATGATGTAGGATTAACTTCATACATATTCTCACCTCTTATGTCATTATCTCTCTCACTTCAGAGACACTTTAACTTTAGAGAGTCAAACTTGTTAATGCACAGAAAGAAAGATAGATAGATAGATTACCATGACTAAATCCAGCATGATATGCTCTGGGAAAGGTGATGACAAACTCTCCAGGCTTCTGCAAGACCTTGTAAACTGGAACACCATGTTGAATCAAGACATTTGGAGAAAACATGGTTGTTTTATGAGCAAGAGCTTGGAAGGCACCAGCCTCTCCATCATGCTTTGATAAAATCTTATTGTGGAACACATGATCTGAGGTGACCTCTTCGAATTGAGAGGCTGCATAGCTGGGAACACCATACCAAGTTTTATTTGCTCCTGAGTGATGATAGTTAATGCTGCAAAAGATTAAAGTACATAAAATCAGGGCTGAGAGAAGTACCGGAAAAATAGCAGATGAACCTGAAAACCAGAGTAATAGTTTTGATAATTACCTGTATAAATAGTGATCTTCTACATGCCATGCAAACATGCTGAATAGCATTCCAATATAAAGCATGGGATCAGTTATTCCCTACCGGGGAAAAAAAAGTTTACATGATGATTAGAATAATCAGTCAGAAAACAGTGTTAACAATTGAATTGAGACAAGGTATTAGACATTGCTTTCTCACTGGAATTTCTCTGTCAATGAACCGCAATGTGGATTTCTGCAGCCTGGAGAAATTCTGAGATCAATGAAAATGTAAGTTTTTTCTTCATATCACAATAAACTGATGGGGTACAAACAGTAAAAAATGGCAACGCAGGTGGCAATTTATGGATTAAATTTGAGGAACTATGGACAACCTGAATTTCTCAACAATTAACAGAAAGCGTGTGTGTCTGTGTAGAGAGAGAGAAAGAGAACAAAATAAGATGAATAAGATCTCAAAAACCACCTTCAAATTCCATTTGCTTTTCCCAAGCTTGTCATCAGGATCACATGAAAAAGCACTCCCTTCAACATTGACTCCATACTCAACTGTTCCTATCTCTCCATGCTCCATCTCATGCCAGAATAACTTTTCCACATACGGAGAAGGAAGACTTCCTGAACTGTAAAACCGACTGAGAAAGGCCTTGTTCGCCAAAGTCTCGAAATCACGATAAGTGTATTTTCTGATGGAAACAATATCAATCAGCATTTGAGCAATGTCAATTGATATCAGTCAGCAATTGAACAATATCATTTGAATCATAGTCATAATAAATTCTCTCACCTGCCTCTGAGGGAATAGATTGTTTCATTGTCCTCATTCCATTCAGAAAACTGAAGAGGTTGTACAATAGTTTCAAACTTGAAATTTTCTATCTCTTTCATTAGGACAACAGCAGCTGGAATAGAGGCATTTATAGGAGAAACAATTTTGCATATTCCTGAAATATTTAAAACGAAACCTTATCATTAGTAGTATGCAGAAAGTATTTGTTCTATGAGTGTTGTGAGAATGAAAATTCATGCATGGTTAAATGAAAATGTTCATGGTCATTTGCATCTAAATAATCAATGACATTGCACAAGCAGGGGCCAGTATGTTCTGTTGTTATGGAAAAGTCTTCATGAACATTAAAATAAGACTAAATTATACATAACTCCTTGAAATTTAGGTTATACGCAGATAACTTCCCTTGCCTTTAAAACTTAATCATGAATCTCCCAAAACTTTTAAAAATTATATAAGTAACTCTATTATATTAATTTGTCTATTATTCACTAATGGAATATAACATGACAGTTTTATCTGCACATGATTTAAAGTTTAGAGTAATCATTACTAATAATCCAAAGAATTTATCTTTACATGATTAATGATGTATCATGCTTCATTAGTAACATAGAAGGTTAATTAATGGCGGGCTATCTGCTCAAATTTGGAAATTTGGGAAGATTCTTTATTAAATTTTAAAGGTCATGAGAGTTATTTGCAGCACATGGCTCAAATTTCAAGGAATTTTTATGCTATTTAGCTTTAATATAATGAAAAACAAAGTATTAACTACTAAAAGCCAGTTCATGAACATATTTAAGAGCTTAGAATAATAAAGCAAAATGAAATATGACTTGATCAGATATACCATATTTTTGTGACTCGTGAACAATCTTCTGCAGATAAACTAAGGGATCCTCAAACTCCTGTTCTGATGGGCAGAAAACTGGACAGTCTGGAATCTTATCGACCCATTCTTGCTCTGCCAAATCTACTCTCCTCAGTTTGTTCAAGATATCCTTGCCTGCTGTTTCTTTTTCTCTTTCACATCCAAAAACTTTAGCAGCTTTTGCTTTATTTGAGCTCTTCATATCACTAGCATATGATGTTTTTGATGTCACACGAGAGTCCAACCTTCGAAACCTTCTATGCATCTTGTTATTTCCAGTTATTACCTAAATTTTTTTGTTGTCCAATCTGGAATGTGAAGAAAATTGGGCAGAGTTCAATATCATCAATATAAAAGTTAAAATCTATATTAAAACGTGCTATTCATGAGCCATGTTTCCATATTCAGCCAAAATGAGGCAATGTTAAGAACATAACTTTGTAACTTTGTTGAAGGATTGGAGCCAAATATGACCATGTCCACTACCCTTCAAACCATTGCTCTCTAAACATGACATTTTCAAGTATTCTTGCATAAAGCATACGTAAAATGAAAATCTTCTAAATATTGTAGAATTTAAGATATGATTTTAATTACATTATTTACTCATGTATTGTCCTACCAGAAGCGGCAAAACTATTTATTATGCACCACATAAAACATGGAACTATAAAAGGGGGAAAATCTATGCGATCACATGGAAAACTTCACAATATAGGTTTGGCTCAACCGTACGTCAAGAGAACCAAAAAAAAAAAAAAAAAGGTATATGGATAGGCAAAACTCTGAAAACTAAAAAAAATAAAATGTTTAAGCATATCTGTAAGACTTACTCTAAAAAAAAATATATATTAAGTCATTGTCATGTATATTTTGTAGTCTTCATATAGAATAAGGATTTTCTTAACACATGTTCGTACACCGTACATAATTTCATTTCACTGTACTCTAAATAAGAATCACCAGTGCCAAGCATTTCAAACTTAAAAGTCTCTTACAATTCTAAAGTAATTCGCATCATCAATATATTTATAAACATAACATAAAAAACTAACCATTAAATAAATTTTAACTGTATTGAAGCGCAAGCGCCTACTAACGGGCATGCATGCTTGCTCCCTTGCGCATAAAACAAAGGTCCCAAGTAAGAAAATTCGAGAAGTAGCTTTTTATGTTTCCATCTATGAGATAAAGAAAGGCATATGGCATGATGAGTTGCTCTTCTACCAACGTTGTTAAAAGAATTCGATCTCTGGTTTACAAGGAATGCACGAAACATGAAAGAGAAGAGAAGAGAGAAAGTGATTTGCTTTGGATTCAGAGGAATACCCTCAGTTATCCTACACCCCACGCACTCCTTGGGCAGTTTTCTGGACATGCATGCTGGAAAACTGTTACTGCACATTTTCAAAATAAAAGGGAATATTGCACTCAAGGACCCAGATATATACTACACATGCGGACGCAGCACTAGAGACAAAGACAAACATATATAATTCTTAAAAACACGCATGCAATGATTCACATGTCATTAAACTCAACTTTTTCCCAGTTACAATAATTTACACAGTAAACCAAATAATCAATCCAAAGCAAGAGTCGTCTTCATGTTCAACACGTGTTTGACACTATTGAACTTCAATTTTATACATTTTATGGCGTTTGATTTATTATTATATAATAGAGACAAATAAACAAACACTTAGAAAACTCTCCACACAAAACGAACAAACAAAGGGAACTTGTACTCAATAAATAGCCAATTATATTTAAAGACACATCTTAGGTCTCAGGACAGCGAAATTTGACAGTAATAGAAATTTAGATTATATTAACAACGGTATATACAAGATTGAGAGAGGAGAAGAAACTATTTTGAGACTATATATAGCCCCAGGTAACATAGAAGAGATAGGAAGTGATTATTGCTTTTCAGTTATTCTTTGGAACACAAGTAATCCAAATAAAAACTTCACTGCGAACATTAAAATTTGACACTTGTTTTGTTTCTAACACACAGGCGAAATTTCAGATTTCAAATTCTGTTATTTGTTACCATCCCAAAAGCACTAAACAGACAATTATTTAAGCTTTAATTTAATTAAATGTCACATGGTTTTAATTTCCTCTTTTAGCATTTAGAAGAAACCAAGAGATATAATTAAGAAGAAACTGTAAGTATATAAAATGAAAGGAGGGGAAAGAGAGGGAGATACTTTTCGATAGTGATCAGAAACTTTCTAGTGTTTTCTTTGCATCCAAACAGAAGTGCAGAAACTCGACGAAGAAAGCAAATGATCCAGCGAATGATTTGCTTCCCAGAAAGAAAAGGATAAACATTCAAGAAAAATTACAAATTAGGAAAGTTTAAGCAATGTTAGAGATTAAAAGGAATCGTTGAAAGGATGTGATGATACCGTTTAATTCTTCGCTTCAGGCGGTTAAGTGTACGTGACTTTTTGGTGCGCGATAGAGCATTTTGGCTCTGTAGGACACGTGGCAACATCGCAGTGGGTGAGTCCATGAAGGTGCATGAGGATGTGACACACTTAATCAATCGTAGCCGTTGTGCTAATAAGCAATAACCTTCCAAATTCCGAGCTGACTTAAATTGGTTTGAATATATTTCCTCCTTTGCCTTTCAGACAAAGATATGGTTAAAAGTACTGTATCTTGAAATTTAGTAAAATGAAAATTTTTAGAAAAAATAAATGAAATATAAAATATAAACCGAAGCATTTATTTTGATAGTATCCAACTATCCATGATACAAAAGGATCTTATTATAATATTGTCTCCCCAAAACTAAAAATAATACTGTTTAAAATCAAAGGTGAGTATTTTTTTTATTAAAAATGAATTTATAAATTAAAGTCATTGAATACAATTCTCCCTAGATGAAATATCAAAAGTGAAGTTTAAAAAAAAAAGAATTAATTGATTCAAGACCATATTGATGAATGATGATGCATAGTTCCAATATATTTTATTTGTATTGAATATCAAGGAAGCTAAATTATTTTTCACCAAAAAAAGTCTAGGTTATGAGTCCACCCCTTTGTATGCAAGTTTAAATTCATGAGTTTAATTTTGGCGAAAAAAATAATTGCAAGTTTAATAACCTTGCTTACAATTCACTTCATTCTTATCACTGAAATTAATTTTAAATGGAAAAAATTTATATTGACCCAAAACAATAGAATGTCTGTCCACTAATTTACGAAATTTATAAGAAAATCAGAAAGAACATTCAATTAATAAAAAAAATTATATAAGGTTAGAACTGTATTATTTAAATAATTTGATTCTTAGAATAGCATTTTTCAAAATTATTTTTGTGACCATTTTAATTATACAGTTTACTAAAGGTTTGATTTTCTTCTTCATGCGTTGGTGTGCTTTCCAACATATTCACTCTCCTTTTTAAATTTTCATCTTCTAAAGTAGATCATCATTCATCACTCATATCATGAATTTTTTTTTTAAAAAAGTTGGATTTCTGGTTAAAAAGATGTATTTAGATTCAAAAAATACAAATAAAAATATTTACAGATGACCTATTAATTAAAAAGATCCTCACATTATGCATATTTCTTGTGGTTACATCTGCATGGTATAAGTATATTGTGCATTTCTTTTTAATGCCAAATTAATTATTGTCATTTGTAATCGGGCATGGGATCTTTGTATTGCATGGAACTCTTAGATATGTACCACATAATTTACAATTTTACATCTTTTTTCAATTTTTTAATCTCTCCCCCGTTGTAAGATTTTTCTTGAGTGTTTTAATATTGGGTAATATAAGATATTTTAATAAAATAATACTTTCTCTAGTCCTATTTATAGAATACTTCTAAAAGTAATTTTCTGTCTAAAATATAAGATAATTTGTAATAATTAAACCATTTTTTAATTTAATCTCTTTTTTATTAGCATAAAAATATCCAATGTAGTTGTATCATTATTTAAAACTATAGGTAAAAATAAAAGTACACCTCATTTGTTTATGATATTAAAAACTAATTTTTTTAAAGATATGTGAAACGGTTTAAATCCTACAATAAGGACCAAAGGAAGTAATTCATTAATCAATCTTATTTCAAAATTATCTTTCTTTATTTCACTCCTTAAATGACTAAACTCTTTCACTAGGCACAAGTCCATTGATTTTTAATAATATATATTTATTAATATTTAATATGGCTTATCACCTAATGAATTAAACTACTCGGTCCAATTCAATGGATGTTGTATGTTAATCTCTGAAATAAAATCTAAATCATTAGAATTTGAACGGCCGTATTCAAAGTTTTCATTTCATTTTCTTAAAATATTAAAAATTATAAAAAATTTAGCATTCACACACACATATTAATATAAATAAATATTAAAATAATAAAATAAAATAAAATTTTAACAGGTTCTCAATTTCGTACTCCTTCCACCCCAAATCATAAAATATTTTTGGAGAGATTTGGTGTTACAAGATCTAAATATAAGACATTTTGAAAATATTAAGGGTTTTATTAAATAGGCTTATTTTAATATCAATCTTACTCTCTTTATTTAATTTCCATCTCTCCATCTTTTTAATATATTAAATGAAAGATATTTTAAAAGTTCATATTTTTATTTAAAAAAATAAAGTTATTAATGCCTCATTTAGTATGGTGGAAATAATTTTGATGAAAACTAGCCTTGACTATCCCGTGCGTTGCACATGAAGGCTTAACTATTTAGATATTAATAATATTCAGTGTGTATACTTTATTTAAATTTGTATAATTAATTTTCATACATTTCCATAAAACTTTAAAATATAATGGACTGATCATGCCAATTATTTGATAAAACTAATATGAAAATAGTGGATGTAATCTCAAACCAAAAAAATTGTGGAAGTAATTAAGACATTATTCATATTATTTTTTCCAACATGTTTTAAAGCTTATAATATGATTATTGAGTTTATTTTTCGTAATATATTTTTTAATACAATGGCACCTTCCTTTTCAAGTAAAAAAATATACAAGAGTGACATTGTCCAATAAAGATTGATTAGGCAATATATTTATGTCAAAGGGATGTCATTATGATATTCTATACTTATTATCAAACTTTTTAATAAAAACTTCTACTGTTTTCTTAACATTTATTCCCCATGTGATGTCCTAAAAAAGACTTAAATAGTAGTTAAATACTCCCTTTGTTAAAAAATATAAAAACATTTTTTAAGGGGTTGGATGTTCAAAAATGCAGAGT